ATATATGGGTGCGGTTTGGGTAGTAGAGCATAGGCTCTCAACAATCAAATTAGAGACTACCTTCGAATAGTGTCGAGAAATATGGTTTCAATACTAAAAATCTTTGTGATAGACTTAAAATATGTTTTCATATTTATTTATAAAGTTTAAAGCTTCAAAAATAGTGTAATATTAATAAGGATAATTTGACTCCTTTAATGATTTTTTTAAGGGTCTAATACTAATATTTTCCTGTTTTTAAAACATTGTAATGAAAAATCAATTTAATTTTCAAGTCCCATTTAATCCCCAGCTTTTATTTACTCTCAGGCAGTAATATACTTTTGGAAAATTGTTTCATGTGGGCTGGACCTCATTTCTACATAGGTGGTCTAGAAAGCGTAAAGCATATATCTTAAAGATGGATGCAAGTAGGTGCTCCATCTAAAAACAACGGAAACTAATGGTCCAAATGTTTTCTTACTAGAATTATTATTTTTAGCTTTTTAAAATTTATTTATTTATTCATATTCATGGTCTCCATGTTAGAGATTACATGTCCTTAAAAATCAAGTCTTAAAATCCATCTCAAAAATAGATTTATTGAGAGGTCCGCATTTCTACATATGTAGGCTTGGCCACATAAAAACCGGGTCCTGTACTTTTTAATACAGGAAAAAGTTTATACAATGATGCAATTTTAAAAGGTAGAATTACAGATGCGCATCAAAATCTACCAGAAAAGGTTGTTTTAATGTTAAAAAACCCTCTAACCGATCATCTCCACATCGCAACGTATGAATATGAAAAAAAAAAAAAGATTTTGAGTCTCAAAAATAGTGCATCTGCAGCACATTATTTAGACAGTTCGTTTTCAAAATTTTTATATGTTTATAGATCTACTTGATTTTAATCATTTTTAGAGTTTCAAATTTTACAAGTAAAGATGAAAATAGATTGTAAGATAATCCTAAAAAAAAAATTACATCAAATTTACATGTCATGACACCTTAATTGGCATGTCATGGTAAAATTTGGAGGTGCACCTTAATTGGATTGTTTAAGGTGGCAACCTTATAGAAACCACACTCGTAGTTCTATACCATACTAAAACCCTTGGCCTATGTTAAGTTCAACTGAGCTTAAACCCTCGCTGTTTTCGCCTCCTTAAGCTCTCCCACCTTTACTCACAACAAAAATTCCTTCGAAAACCAGAGAACTTAGAAAACAAACTTCGTATTTGAAGGTCGCCCGATAAAACTGTCACCCTAAAAAAATTTCTTCACCCCTCTGTTCTCCGCTCAGCCGCTCCAGCCTCTCGCCTGCAACTCAACCAGCCTCTCTTCTTCCTTCCTTGCCATTTTCACCAGGTACTTCACTCCTCTCTCTCTCTTTCTCTATTTCTAGAAAATGGTATTCTTCCCATCTCTCTCTCTCTGTATTGAGAAGAAAGATTGCTCAGTGTCTCTCTCTAGGGTTTCACCAACTTCCATTTATTTGTTTAAAGGGACAGCCATTCAGGTTTATCTGTCTAGGCCATATTTAGAAAATGGTTTATCTCACTGGTTTAAAGGGACAAGCATTAGGGTTTACCTCTCTAGATCATTTCTAGAAAATGTTTTATCCCACTGGACATGCATTCGGGTTTATCTGCTCCTAAAGTTTTTGTTTTTTGTGAGGTTTGTTACCCTAGCCCAAATCATTCCACTCAATTTTGTTATGAAGTGAATAGTTTCTTTCAGCATGACTTCGTTTTCACCTATTGATAGGTGCAAGGGATAGTATCTTATATGTTCAATTCTTGAGCGGCATCATTATTGTCTACATATGGTATCGAAAAATGGCAGTTCACAGGACCACCATATTCTTGAACTTCAATATCTCCTCTTTTATGTTTGATACAACTACTAGTTATTGGCAAAAAGTCAGAAACCATACTTGCTTACTCTACCTCGTTTATCACCTGTCTATACCAACAAGGGAAATATATCTATTGCAAGAAAAAAGCTTGTGCAAATTTTTTTTTTTTTTCACTAAGACAAAATTCAGCTAGGTTGGGATATGTTCTTTGGCATGGTAGAAAATTTACGAGATTATGCAAATTTTTATGGCTAATCCCTTCCTCTGCAAATTTAGGGTTTGTCCACAATGGATTCTGCTTATCAAGTATGGTATCTATGTATCTCAGTTTCGATTAAGTGTTGTGTGTGATGCTTCTTTACCGCATATATTGGACCAAATTTAGATCTTTTCATGCCATGCTTTGATGATTTAGAATTTTCGGTGGATTTTCTAGACTTACCATGTTGATTTGGGGTTTTATAAGATGGGGTATTGTGTTTCACCTATGTGAGGAATTCAGGTCTATTTGGTATATTTGTAAAGGGTATGTGGTTCTCTGATTGATGCATTTGCTGGATCTTTTTTCTTTTGATTTTGATTAACTGGTTTTCTTTTACAATATGAATTTCATCAAGATTTACTTGATTATGTTTTTTATTAGCAGTATAGATTTGGAGTTCTGATGGTGATAGTTGTTCTGTATGGAGATTGTATGCATATTGCTAGGTCATAGTACTATCCTCTCTATGACTTTGTTTAAATAACCTATCTTATTGTTCTAGTGTTTGTAATCTGTTTTTAAGTAAATTCAGTTGCTTGTTACCAATGTTTCCACTATCAAATCCCATTAAAAAATTAATATTTTCTAGGTCTCAACCTTAAGATTTGACATCTTACCTATAACTTCTACAACTAATCAAACACAGATCCAGAACTTCCTAATCTTCCAGCACGTTATCATACACAGATACTTAGAACTTCTTTAACATTTCAGCAGGTTATCAAATACAGAAACTTTGAACTTCTTACAGTTCTTTCTTCCCAGCAAAGAAGAACTTCCAATTTCCAGAAAACATTTACCTTCCAATTATCAAATAGGCCGTGTAACAACACGGAACTTGAAAAGGGAACCTCGCTGAAGGGTAAAAGTAAGTTACCCATCCCCGACTGCCCTAGCGAAGAAGAGGGTATTTGCTTGCCCCCGACTGCCCTAACCACAGAGCAGAGACGAGCCTACGAGCCTCCTCACAAAGGTACATCTCAGTTTTTTCTCTCTTTGGTTTTTCTCTCTCTCTCTAGTTTTTTCTCTATCCCATAGTTTGTTTGGTCTCTTTGATTTTTTCTCTAGGTTCCAAACGTGGTGAAAATGAATCTAGGGTTTTCTCTAAATATTGTTTTGTGGTAAATTGTTCTCTGTAGTGAAAAAATAATTTGGCTGTTTTTTTTGGTAAACAGTTCTATGTAGAAACCTTGCCCCTCATCCCTCCCTTTCAAACCCTCCTCTCTCCATTCCAGCTAAATTTCACAGTTCTCTCATTTTCTAATTCTTGTTTTCATCTAGTTTCTTCACCTACACAGGTGACAATCATAACCATTTGGTGTCCCCTTTTTTTTTTTCTTTTTTATGATTGCTATCATCTGAAAATGAGATAATCAATGAGATTGCTTAAATTTGATTCATGGTTAGCTTTTTTGTTTTTTTCTTGATTGATAGTTCTTTTGTTGGTCGTGAAGAAATGAAAGAAAAAAAATTGCAATATTGCTTTCTTTTTTGCCATAGGTTTAGATTAAGCTTACTTTTTATTTTTCAATATCAAGCATAGGGAATGTAGTTATAGAATCAGCGAACAAGAAAAAAAACAACTTGTTATAGATTGATTGGAATTTTTTGTAAATAACAACATTTCTCAAGGAAATCAGCAGGAAATTTGTTGAGTTTGTTGTGGAATTTTACTTCAGGAAATGGTTAAAGAATCCAATATTCAATTTAATTAATCCTGACTATTTGATGTATAGAATAGTTTTTCTAGGAAAAACATAAAAAATCATTGCCATGAAGTTTGAATGAGAGAAAATTGATTGTCTTTGATGATTGAGGTGAATTTTAGTTATGATTGTGATTGGGGTAATTGTCAAATGTTTAAAGGTTTATTGCTTCTAAAGTTTGTATAACTCTTTCATATGACTGAACTATCCCAAAAAGAATGGCATTCCAAGATCCAATGGATTGAACCTGCATTCTTTCAAACTCAACTCTTGCTTCCTTAATAGGCATACACTTCGCATGAAAGGTTATAATAGAAGACTGCAGAATCCCATCAAAATCCAAACCAATTTTCAAAATAAATCCATGAATTGCCATACCCAAATTAACAAATTTTATACCTGCACAAGCATTGAAAGCACTAATAACCATAGGTTTAATGGCTCTGAAATCTTTTATACAAGCCATCATACCAACAAATAGTGTTAGTCCCCTTTCATATCGCCCATCATTAACAAAACCGGATATCATAACAGCCCATGTAACTTAATTTCGCTTGGCCATGGAACTAAACAATCTATATGCTTCATTAATTTTCTTCATCTCAACATACCCATTAATCATAGAAGTCCATGACAACATTTTTTAATGGCATGTGATCAAAGACCCATCGAGCTTCACTGATCCGAAAGTTTGATGCAAACCTAGAAAGAAGAGCATTCCACGAGGCCAAATTACATTGAGTTATACCATTAAAAATCTCCATTAAAGAACCTGGATCTCTGCACTTAGAATCAATGGTTTAAAAAGCGGATCGGGGACCCGGATCGGGCACCTCAAAAACCGATCCGAATCGGGAATCGGGTGAATCAGTCAGATTAAAGCTTCAAAAAAATTCAAAAAAATTATTAAAATTCATTATAAATATTGTTTTTTAGGAATTCAATAAAAAATGAGGGTACTTCATTAAGAATTTTCATTTCTTTTCATGAATATGCGAATATTGATATGTTCTTTCTTTGCATGAACTACTGTTTACCATTTAATTTACGTCACACAAATGGATAAACATAGAATTATCATGGGATAAGTGTATCAACATACATGGACTACAATAAAGCATACAATTAGTAACATATGATCTAAAAATAAAATGACAGACAACGTCGTTTTTCTTCTTGGTCACGTTGGTGCCATTCATTGAATGTGTTTGACAATTCATTGATTCGATCTAAAAACAAATCATCGATATTAGCAGGCGTCTGACTATATCCACATCCCTGAGTGTTAGTGTTCAGTTGTGTTTCCAATCCGTAATCCCCGTAGCTTGTCCATCTTTCATGCTCACCTACAATGTCGTGTTCATCCCTACCCTGTTGTTGTTGGGACTCGATATATAAATAATATGGCTGAGATAGGGTGGTCTCGGAATCATTATCTCTCTCATTTTCCCTTAGACCCCCTTCCTATTATCCCTCATTAGGTGCAATATCATCGACATCTTCGACGATTTGTGGATATGTTGGCTGACTGCTTCCTCTTTCATGTTGCTCATCACTTTCTTCAAGATCTTTCTCATCGATAGCCTCAAGGAACGTTCTTTTGTGCAACACTGACGCCTCCTCTTCTACTACCCATTGCTCTACTGTGTCTGTGACAAATATTGTGTTTAAGTCTATCGACCTATAGTCTTCAAACTTCCTTATTATTTGTCGCTCTCGGAGGTTTAAGTTGTAATGAACGTAGATTAGTTTATGAAGTTTCTCCGTAGCAAGTCGATTTCTCCTAGTAGTGTGCAACCATTGGAACGTACTCCAGTTGTGCTCACAGCCAGTAGCAGAACATGTCTGGGAGAGCACCTTGATTGCTATCCTCTTTAGGTGAGGTGCATCAGTACCATATATCTGCCACCATTCAGTTGTGTTAAAATGTAAAAAGCATTGTAAGGGTAAGAACAATTCATAAGATTAAATATATGAATGAACAAAATATTAGCTAGGGGATAACCTGGATCCATCTTAGTTTGAGAGTTCCTGGCAAGTCTAGTTCCGAAGGATCCTATAGCATCCCTATACATAGTGAGCTAAAACAAATATATTTCGTTTTAATGCATTATTCCTCAAAAATATAACTCAATAAAGTTCTTACCCAAACATTAAATAATACCTCTTGTATTGCTGCTACTTGGTTTCGCTGGCTTCTCTCCAACCTTGCAATAATGTATCTGACCCCTTCCATAATCTTGTAGGGATGTTCAGGTGTCAAATAAAATTTTTTTGGGTTGAAGTAGTAACATATAAAATATATAGATAGAAAATGTCATTTACAATTTCATAAAAAAATGATTTAAATTGAAACATTCTAGTGAGATAAATATATATTTAACAGCATAATGAATTGGACGTCCAAATTGGTGTTCCACTTCCGTTCTATAATCTCGATCACTTTGTTAACAAAACTACACTTCTCCCCAATAGCTGATTTTGCTCTTTCGATACCTTCATAAAGGATTTCCATGGTAGCTTTCTTGTCAGTATCCATCATTCTTAACACCGTGACCAAAGAGGCAGTGGCTTCTACGACATTGAAATATCGAGACCAGAACCTCTTATTTGAGACTATGCTGTCCACTTTTATACCGGTACTAGACTTCGATAGGCAGTCATTTAACCACTCTTCACAGGTAAACAATCTCTTTATGGCGCCTTTAGATTGCAGAATGGAGTCCATAGCTAAGTAATCGATCGCAAAGTGGGTTATGGCAGCCTGATTATCTCTTTTTTCTTAGAGTGTTCTTTAAACAGAAATAATATTTTAGAGTGGTTGTATATAAATCTTGACACCAACTTTGCTTCCTCTAGAGTTTCCTTCACAATTTTGATCTCACCGATCTCTTCTAACATAAGATCGATGCTGTGTGCAGCATATGGGGCCCATACTAGATGCTTCCTCTTCTCCATCAACTTGCGGCCCGCAGAAACACATGCACGCGCATTGTTCGTAATAAACTAGACTACATGCTTATCTCCTACCTCCTCCACTATCTGATCATATAGCCGTATATAGAAGTTTGCATCTTTCTTCGTTCCTGATACGTCTTTGCTAGACAAAAAAGCTGTACCTTTTGGGGAATAGGTCATGAAGTTTAAAAACTCATTTTTGCTAACTTTATTCAACCAACTATCACTCATGAGAGTAATGCCTGTCTTTGGCCAACTCTGTTTTTATTCTTCAATCCACTTTTTAACTTCCTCCACCTCTTCATCTAATATTGGCCCATTGCGCTCATATGTCGTCTGGGGTTTTATCACGGGCCCGACTCTTTGGATTGCATTGACCATAGATGGAAAATACGGGCTATTGGCTGCATCAAAGGGAATCCTTTTATCGTAGAACCATTTACCAACATATCTTCCCAACATGTTTCTTGTACCTTTAATCGTTGAGAAAAACACAGTAATTTAGAGATTCGATCATGGATTATATAAAAAAAAAAAAACAATTTGATCATGGATTTCAAAAAATTCGATCATGGATTACAAAAAAAATTCGATCATGGATTACAAAATAAATTGGATCATGGATTACAAAAAAAAAAAAAAAAAAAAAAAAATTTAAGTTCTTCACAGAGCCACCTTACATCAGCCATTTTAACTCAAAAATCCACCTCCAAGCGAATAAATTACATCCAATTGAGTACAGTTTTTGATAAACAACAATATAAGGAATTAAAACCCTAAATTATGAACACATTATCATCAATAAATCAAATCAAATCGATTAAATTGAGCAAAAAAAAAAAGCAGTTCTTCACAGACAACAGACATTGAATCTAAAAAATGAAGCTCAAATTGAATAATCAGATCAAATTGAATACATCTAATTATAAACAAGACTATAACGATTAAAAACCCTAGAAATCTAACACATTATTTGTAATATATCGTGAACAAAAAATCGAAAGGCGGAAAAAAAAAACAAAGACAGTAGAAATGTTTTTTCACAAACATCACTGTGTTCATCTAAAAAATTAGGTTGTTAAATAAAATTGAATATGTTAAATGATAAAAAGACACAATAAAGATTAAAAACCCTACAAATGTAACTCATTATTTTCAAACTATGCAGTGAAATTGATCATATGGACGGAAAAAAAAAAAAAAAAAACCCAAAGTTCTTACTTGGTTTCGTGAACCTGAGCCTTCAATGTCTAAATTACTCCGTTTTTCTCAACGATTATCACAAATTCGTAACAAAATTTTTTGATGAACAACTTTACGATTCAAAATGCCTACAAATTTTCACAGATTCATGCCCTATTTGGCATAAAACACAAGGAAATGTGAAAACCCTAAAACGCAACTTTCATGATCCAAAAACACGAAATTTCTCCACCATTTAATCCATAAAAAAGCTGAAAAAAACTGCATAAAGCCTGCATATTCGATCACATGGCAAAAAAAACAAGAAAAATGATAAAAAAATGATAAATTTTGAAGAATCCCCGTGAAGAACACTGTGCAGCCCGTGTTCTTCACGGGACTCGCCCATTCCGTACAGTGAATCGGCGAGTCACTGTACAGAATCGCCCAGTTCTCTTTGGAACCGGGCGATTTCATGTAATTTGCCCCAGTGTTTAAAAAAATGCCGAGTCGAGCCCGGTTCGACTCGGGAATCGTCCGGTTCTAGAGAGAATCGGACGATTCCGCACAGTGACTCCCCGATTCGCCTTACGAAATCGGCGAGTCCTGTGAAGAACACGGGTTGCAAAGTGTTCTTCACGGGATTCTCAAAATTTGTCATTTTTTTGATCTATTTTTTTGTTTTTTTTTGGCATGTGATCTAATTTGCAGGTTGTAAACAGCTTTATTCAGCTTTTACACGGTTTAAATGGTTGAAAATTTTGATGTTTTTGGATCACGAAACTTGCATTTTTAGGGTTTTCGCCTTT